GCACGAAACCCCGCGCAGACCACCAGCGCCGACTCCACCAAGCGACGTGGCCAGCACCATTGCCGCACGCCGACATCGACAACAAGGATTCCTCCTCTTCCTCCTCCTTGGCTTGCGTAACCTTCTTATCTATATCGCGTGCATGCCTCAACCCACACACACTCTCACACACTATAGTATTGTAGAGGCCTCCGGCCCGTGCCGCCGATCCAGGACGCTCTGGGACGCTCAGTGCGAATTCGTCCTGTTTGATTGTTTGCGAGTCTTACTTCGAGGAGGCAGGGAAGAGGATCAGGAGGGAGGAGGGAGGGAGGGAGGAGGATGTGGAAGAGGAGGAGGAGGAGGAAGAGGAGGAGGAGAAGGAGGAGGAGCAGGAGGCGGTGGAGGAGGAGGAGGAGGAGGAGGAGGCGCTGGCCCTGGCGCTGGCCGCCCCGGCCCGGGCCCCAGCCCTGGCCCTGGAAACAAATCAGTTACAGTCCCCCCCCCCTTCCCCCGGCAGAGCCACCCCGGCATCGGGAGATCTAGGCCTCCAGGAGGTGGGGTCGGAGTAGGTGGGGTCGGAGGATCGCGCCGCATCGCCGATGCATCGCCAGTGCGGCTCGATGCGGAGCTCGATTTGCTTCACGTCGGCGTTGCCGATGCAGCGCTGGCGCATCGGCGATGCATCGCCGATGCATCGCCGATGTGATCCTTCGACCCCATCTACTCCGACCTCAGCAAGGAGGCCTCTAGCAGAGCTGAATAGCAGGCTGCAGCTGTTGAAACTCACACGCTGGATGGGTGGATCTCGAGGCATCGGCCTCGCCCACCTGGTCCCATGAGGCCCTTACGCTTGTCCGCACTGGTGATTCGTTCGTTCGTTCGTTCCCAGCCCCTCCCCCTCCCCCTCCTCCCCCTCTCCCTCCCCCTCCTCCTCCTCCTCCTCCTCCTCCTCCTCCTCCTCCTCCTCCTCCTCCTCCTCCTCCTCTCAGCCCTCCTGTTCCAAAGCCATTCTGGCCCAATCGGGTCCCCATGGGCCGTGGCAGCTCTTGTGTGGTTGTTCATGGGTGCCTCAGAGGGTCCCCAAATTCCCTGCGGTTTTGGGTTTCGTCTGGATTCCGTCGGATTTGGACAACATCTGTACGAAATTTGGATGACATCTGGACGAAAGCGTGACGAGGGGTTGTCGAAAGCTGGACGACATCCATACGAAAATCACGTTCATCATAGGGCCGCGGAGGTCCACAGGCTCCCAGGAGGGCTCACCCCGCGGCCCACGGGGCGCCAGACGCCGCCCCCCCGTGCTTGCATTGCCCCCAAGCCCGGCGCGCGCGCGCGAGGGCGGCCGGGGCCGCCGAGCGTGTGAGCCTCCGTCCGTCCGTCCCGTCCGTGCGTAGCCATCCTGGCGCGATCGGGTCCGCACGGGCCCGGGTGCAGCCCGTCGGGCGCCGGATGCCCCCTTGCTAGCCTCTGGGCCTCCCAGATGGGGTCGGAGTGCCCAGAGATCCGAGGACATGATTTTTCGATGCGGCGATTTTCCCTTGATTTCGGCCTCCGGGGCCAGTGATCGGGACTGGGGACCATCAAGAGCTGATCCTGGACGAAAATGCACCCCCGGGAAAGGGGTACCTCTGGGGCCGCAGGTGGAAAAAATCATATCGGCTGATGTCTGGGGCATATGCGGGGTAGGAGGATCACGCCGCATCGCCGATGCATCGGCGTGGGGGCTCGATGTGGAGCTCGGCTTTTTCCACGTTGGCGTCGCCGATGCACCGCCAGTGCATCGTCGATGCGACGGCGATGTGGCGCGATCCTCCGACCCCATCTGCTCGGACACCATCTGGGAGGCCTCTCTACAGCCGGATGGCTCCCAAGTCTGGCGCGCGCGCGAGGGCGGGCGGGACGCTCAGCCGGCGGCTGGGGGGCACCGCGCCGCGGCGCCGCCCCGCGGCCGCGCGCGCGGGCCCGCGCGGGGCAGCGGCGGCAGCGCCGGTGTTCGTGCTGGCGCCGGGGGCGTCGAACCGCCCCAGCGAGCTGGCGAGGGGCTGCCTGGAGCTCGGGAGGGAAAGATGCGGGGAGGAGGCTGGAAGTTGAAGCCAGCTGGGGGTCCGAGGTGGCCCAGCATTAGTTCCGGCGAGCAAGAAGGGGGGCCAGGCCCCAGGACCGTCGGATGCATGCCATATGGGCCCTGGGAGGGTTCGCGGGGGCGATTTTGGGCGGATTTGATCTGATCCCCGTTCCTGGCCGATTTTCTGGGGTCCCAGCCAGTTCAGACCCCCTGGCCGCCTCCAAGCTGGAAACTCACATGGGGCGCCTTGGGGCTACCACGAGGTCTCCCTTTTTGGTTGTCGGGGCGTGAGCTCCCTTTGTGCTGTCTTTTGCAGGCCCACGCGCGAGCGCGAGTTGCCCTGCTCCCACCATTCTTCAGGAGGGAAAGAAACACACAGACACAATTAATTGTCGACTCCCAGGAAAATATGCAAAAATATGGGAAGTGGTGGGGAAGACAAAAACCCAGAAAATATGGGAAAATATGGGGGATATTTTTATTTGTGTGTATTTATTTGTGTGTTCCAGTTCCCCTTCAATTCTATCCGCAGTGATTCCAGCCCGGAGTGTTTCCAGCCTCCACGTGCCGATGCCGCCGCTCCTGCAGGAGGGCCCCCGTCGCCACGGCTGGATCCGCGCCGAGATCCTGGTCAGGACGCGCCCTTGGGGGGCCCAGGAGGGCCCCCGTCGCCACGGCTGGACTCGCCCCGAGAGCCTGGTCAGGACGCGACCTGGGGGGTCCAGGAGGGCCCCCGTCGCCACGGCTGGATTCGCCCCGAGAGCCTGGTCAGGACGCGCCCTGGAGGGTCCAGGAGGGCCCCCGTCGCCACGGCTGGATTCGCCCCGAGAGCCTGGTCGGAACGCGCCCCTGGAGCGGCCCGAGAGCCTGGCCGGATTCGCCCCGAGATCCGGATCCGGGGAGTGGCCGTATCGCCACCTTGCCACCTTGTGGTTTCCCCAGGAGCAGGCCGGCGGGCGGGTGTGCGAGTTCGTGTATCCTCGGCGGCTGCAGCAGGGGGCGGGCAGCCCACGGGGGGAGCGCCGCATAGGTTATGCACAGGGGCTCCGCTCGCCCATGGCCTCGACGAGGCTCTCCAGCACAAGCGTGCAATGCGCGCCCCTTTTGGGATGCAGCTCCCTGGAGGTGAAGTTCAGCAAGGGCGCTGGCATATCCGGGGCGGACAATCGGGGCATTCTGCATCATCCCGCTCAAGACGGCCCAGCCGCCCCGAACCTTCCTGCGGCCTGGTTGGGGTGATCGGCCTGTTGACCGGCAGCCTGGACACTGAAATGAGGACCACTCTTCGGGGGCAACGATAGGGGGGATAGGCTGAGGAAATGCATCGACCCCCAATCGCCCACTGATCGCCGATAAGGGCCCGATAGCCCCAACCTGCCCAGGAAGGTGCGGATTCACGATCGGAGGCCTATCGCCGATCTATCGGCGATGCATCGCCGATTCCAGGTCGATGCATCCCCCCCTTTGCCTATTCAAGATTTCGTAATAAAAGGGAGGGGGTCTGGACCCTCCAGGACAAGCCATTTCAGACCTCCCCCGTGGGAGAACCCCCCAAAACATCGTCCCCAGACCCCCCAGGCCCTCCAAGATAGCCTGGAAGAGACCCCTCCCCCGAAATGAGACCCCCCTCCCTTTATTACGAAATCTGGAGTATTCCCCCCTATCGTCGCCCCTCAACTCTGGGCTGCGGAGGGGCTCTTTTTCTCGGGCCGTTCCTCAGAGGCTCAGGTCCGGGAGCCTCCTCGTTGCCGGGTCCCCCCGTGGCCAGACATGCCCCATCGGCCCTCTTGTTTGGTGCCCCGTGCAGTGGAAGCCCATGCCAAGAAGCACCTTTCTTGCCTCAAGTCGGGCGTGTCCCTCTACAGGAGGAATGTTCAAAAATAGTCAAACATACTATTGGGACGATATTTTATTTGTATATGTATATGTACATGTATATGTATACATAACCATTTCTAGATATTTTAGGGTATTTTCCGAATCTGTTTTATCTTTCGTCCAAAATCGGCCTGTAGGGGGACACGCCCGACTTAATGCTTGCCTCCAGGGTGCCCTGGGTTTCTTGGTTTTCAGTGGTTTTGCGACTGGAAGCGTGACGTTCCCGCACCACAAATGAAAAGGGTGCCCTGGGTTTCTTAGGCTTCGATGGCTTTGCTATGGAAAGCGTGACGTCTTCACTCCACGAATGAATAGGGTGCCCTGGGTTTCTTGGGTTTTGATGGCTTTGGTATGGAAAGCGTGACGTCTCCACACCAAAAATCAACGGACGCCCTGGGGTTCCAGGGTTGTGTTTCTTGTGGAAGATCTCTTGTGGTCGAGCTCTTACTGTGTTGTTGCACGATGGCTTCAGCCCTCAATCGATCCTGCGAAGACCTCCCAGGAGTTGCCTCCTGATGCCTCTGGGCCATCCACCAGACATCCTCCGATTCTGCTCTTTTCAATCCGCGTCCCCAGAGCCCCCGACCTTGGCATCGCTCGGACGTGCGCATTTTTTCTTTGGCGAGGACCATTTAGGAGCATCCTGGATCATCGAGCAAAAACAATTACGCACAACAGCGAAACATGCACGGGGAATGGACGTCCGAGCGATGGCAAGTCCTCCCCGCGGGTAGCTGTGCGTCCCGGATTCGTTTTCGATGGCCCCAGGGACCAAGGGTGCCCCCCCCCCCCAGAGGCCGAAGTGGAGGAACAGCGCCAGGGTCGAACAGCTACCACTGCAGGTCTAGCCACGGACCTGATAAACCCGTATGAATTAACGCACTAGTCCAGCAGTAAGTGGGACAGGTAGATGCGCGCAGTACAAGTGTTCGTGCTCATGTGCGTTCTTTCTGGCAGTGACACGTCGTCTAAACGAAGGCTGGGCAGGGGGTCCGTGGCGGCAAGAATCTCAGCCGCGCCAAAGCCTCCCCGCCCGCTAGCACTGAAATCAGCCGTCTAACTGGGGCTTTCAGACATGCCAGCGGTAGTGGCGGTGGAGGTCCGGCCGCCCTCGGAACGCGTCGGCCGACATCCAGGCGAACCCTTGTTTGGCACGGGGCGAGGCGCGAGTCCTGCTGTGCTGGGCTGGCTCATCGTCGGCGGGCTACTAATACTATGTGTGCGTCGCCCCCCCTAGGGGCGACGCACGCACCGAGAAATCTTACATTATATGCGTCGCGGCGGGTGCTTTCTGGCCACATTGCTCGGGAAACGATGTACGACAAGATGGTATGTTCGGGTCCGACGCACGCCTCCAAGGAGGACACAGAGTGCCAGTGTGTCCTTCTGCGTCCCCTGAGGTCCGGCGTTGCAAACACATGCAACATCGCACAAAATCGCGACCAGGCCCCCGAACCCCATCTTTCTGCATCATTTTTCGAGCGGGATCGAAATGTGAGGGTCCCGGGGCCCGAAATGGAGCGAAACCGCCCAGCTCGAAACAATTGAGTCGCAAGGATCTCAGGGTCCCATCGTCATCGTCATCGTCATCGTCATCATCATCATCATCATCATCATCATCATCATCATCATCATCATCATCATCATCATCATCATCATCATCATCGTCATCAGCCTCCGCCCACCGCACCTGCAGCGGTGGGCGCGCCAGGCCCCAGAAGAGGCCTGGTGGAACGCCCCCGCGGGGGCGCTCCGCCCCTCGCGCCTCCGCCGACCTCCGGGCGGCGGGACGCCGAACCTGCAGGGCCGCCGCGAGGCGTGCCTCGCCGCGCACGCCGCCGCCGTGCGCGCGGCCGCGGCGGCCGCCGGGGGGCGCCCCGTGTGGCTCGCGGGCGTGTCTTTCGGCGCGCGCTGCGCGGCCGAGCTGCTGGCGGGCGGCGCTCCCGGCGGCCTGCCGCGGGGCGTGCGAGGCTCGACTGCGTCACAGTTTTCCGGCGCCTCGGGGAGCGACGAGGAGGAGGAGGAGGAGGAGGAGGAGGAGGAGGAGGAGGAGGAGGAGGAGGATCAGGAGGAGGAGGAGTATCAGGAGGAGGAGAAGGAGGAGGAGGAGGAGGAGGAGGACGCGGAGGGGGAGAAGGAGGAGGACCTGTGTAAACCCAAGAGTCATTAACGATGTTGGAATATATGCCCTCCCTCCAAGCTCCCTCTTCACAGGCCCCTACAACGGTTCCTTTCCATTGAGGGAATTGCCTCGTTGGAAGACAACCGTTTGAAGACCCTGAAACATGCCAAAACATTGTTTTCGGGGTTTCAACGCCGCGGATAAACCTGACTGCTGTGTCTTGACGATCCTGAACCATGCCAGGACGCCATTTTGGTGATTTCAACACCGCGAATCAACATAACTGTTGCACCCGCGTAATCCTGAATCCTTCCAAAACACAATTTCCGGTACGCTGATCATGGGAATCCGTGGAACTCTTCCACATTGTATGAACGATTGTGCGCGGCGCTAAGGCGAGAACCACAATTTGAAAAGGAACCGCCCTGAATCCTTTAAGGTCTGGCAAAGTTTTGAAACGAACGTGCGCGTCGCTGAGGCGAGAGCCACATTTTGAAAACCACCCGCCCTCAATTCGTGAACCTCTTGCAAATTTCTAAGACGAATGTGCGCGGCGCTACGGCGAGAGCCACATTTTGAAAACGACTCGGCCTTAATCCGTGAAACCCTTGCAACATTTCAAAACGAATGTGCGCGGCGCGAAGGCGAGAGCCACATTTTGAAAACCACTCGCCCTCAATTCGTGAACCTCTTCCAAATGTTTAAACGAATGTGCGCGGCGCTTAGGCGAGAGCTGCATTTTGAAAACCACCCGCCCTCCAACTGTGAAGCTGCTGCCAATTAAGCTTCATAGTCGTACATGGTGAGGCAGTCTCAGGCGAAACGCCTGGCCCGCCCTAAAGATTAGCCCCGGGGTGCGGCAGGGAGAGGTTATTGTTATTTGAATTTGTAACGAAAAGGAGGAGGCGGAGGAGGAGGAGGAGGCGGAGGCGGAGGCGGAGAAGGAGGCGGAGGAGGAGGAGGAGGAAAAGGAGGAGGAGGAGGAGGAGGAAGCGGCGGAGGAGGAGGAGGAGGAGGAGGAGGAGGAGGAGGAGGAGGAGGAGGAGGAGGAGGAGGGAATGGGATCGGTCTCCGCACGTGTGGCTGGGAGGCCTGATCGCGTTTGGGTACCCGCTGGTCGCCGTGGGGGACCAGCGCGAGCCCGACCCGAAGAGGCGCAAGCAGGACCGCGGGGCCACACTGCTGCGGCTGCCGGCCACGGCCCAGGTGCTGCTCGTCAGCAGCGAGAGGGACCCCTTCCTCGGCGGCGACGGGGGCGCCGAGCTGAAGAGGCTGGCGAAGAGGACGAGGGCAAAGTGCGTGCTGCACCTACTGTCGGGCAGGGACCACAACCCGGTGGTGCCGCGGACGACGTGCGAGACAGACCAGCCGCAACTGGGGGAGCTGTGGTTCTCCCCCCCCCCCCCCGCGGGTGAGCCATGGCTTCGGCACCCCTCTCGGGAGACCGTCGATACGATGGGCTCCCCCCAGGGGGGTATCGGCGGCGCGCGCAAGGAGGTGGCCTTCTAAGAAGGCTGAGGGCTGTTAAGAAGGCATGGGGCCTTCGCAGAAGGCCCCTGAGACTTCCAGGGATGCTTCTCAGGAAGCTGGGAGGGCCTCCGAGAAGGCCCCTTCCCTCTCCTGGAAGCTCCCGCCGCCTCCTCGGAGGGCCGCCCCCCCCCGCGCCCACGCCCCTCGTGCGCGCTGCCGAGGCTGAGGAGCACAGCTCCCCCGGGCGTGGCTGGTCGGCGAGATCGCGCAGCTGGTCCGCGCCTTCGCCGCCCGGCGCGGCGGCGGCGGCGCGCCGCCGCAGGCGAGCTGAGCCGAGGGGCCCGCCGCCTCGCCGGCCGCCTGCCGGGAGCGGCCTCGGCGCCGCTCCGGGAAGCGTCGCTCGGGGGAGAGGTCAAGGGGTTGACCTAAGTCGGGCCTGTCCCTCTACAGGGGGGACAGTCAAGAATAGCCAAACAATAGTCTGGGGACGATCTGGGGGGTATTTTGGGGCATTTTTTATTGTTCTCCCAAAATCCCCCTGTAGGGGGGCACGCCCGACGAAGGGTTGACTGCGCGTACGAGTGACCCTTCGGCGGAGTGATCTTTGTCGAGGAAGAAAGGATCACACAAATAGACACTTGCGACGGTCTGCGCGGATTTCTTGGATCTGCGCTGGAGCGCCCTGGCGGCCCCTCTAGCGCCGCCGCTGGCGCGCTCCGCGCGCCAGGGAGGGGAGCCCCGCGTAGATCCAAGAACTCCGCGCGGACCGTCGAAAGTTTATGTTTATGCCGTGTTTTCTTCGTCGACTTTGGTGCGCGCCCACCGGCCCCCCCCCCCGATGTCCGAGCGCGATGCGATGGTGGCTGCTTGCGCGCCAGGAGTTGGCCACCTTGCGGCCCCCTGGTCCGCGCACTGAAGGTCAGTCTTGCCCGGGGTCACTCTTGCGCGTGGCCCAAGGTCAGGAGCGAAAGAAGGACGTACATGTACATGAATCCACGCTGGTTTCGAGAGTGCGCATTGCGCGAATGTTCGTATCGCGCGGCAGGTCTCGCGGGTCAAGGGGCCGTGTTCATGTACATAGCTGGGCGCGTACGTCCTTTGTATGCTCCCTACAAGGGGGGACAGGCTCAGGGGGGGATGCCTCGACCCCCAATCGCCCACTCCTCGCCCACACGGGCCCGACGGCCCCGCCCCGCCCCCGGGACGTGCGGACTCGACAACCAAAGGGGCATATCCTGGGCGAGGGCCGGCCCCGGGAGAGGGGCCGACGCCGCGGGGGTTCAGAAGGCCGTGCGCCGGATGTCCGGGGCCCAGCCGCCTGCGGTCGGTCGCCAGGGCCTGCCTTGCTCCAGGCCTCGCAGATGGGGCTGCCGGCTGGGGGGACGGGTTGCTGCGCGCGCCCCGCTGCTGCCCCCCCTCGTTCGTCCGACCCGGGCCTCCCCCCGCTCTTCCCAGGCCCCCCTTCTCCTCGAGGCCTCCCAGATAGGGTCAGAGCAGGATGGTGTCGGAGGATCGCGCCGTGCCCTTCTTCTTCCTCTTCTTCCTCTTCTGTTGCTTCTTCTTCTTCTTCTTCCTCTTCTTCTTCTTCTGCTTCTTCTTCCTCCCATATCTCCTGCACCTCCCCTCGTCCGCGCCACTGTCGCCACTTTCGTGGGCTCCTGGGAGGCCCAGCGGGGTGGAGTGGTAAGCGCACCCAGGCGAGACCTCGCGGCTCCCCTGAGGGGATTGCGAAGTGCGCCACTGTCGCCAGTTTCGTGGGCATTTGGGAGTCCCAGCGGAGTGGAGTGATAAGCGCACCCAGCCGAGACCTCGCGGCTCCCTCAGGGGCTGCGAATTGCGCAACAGTCGCCACTCTCGTGGGCTATTGCGGGTCCTTCAACATGTTCGTTTGTGTTGATGGGCCCCGTGTATCGTCGCCACATGTGTAGAAAGGGTTGGGTACGTCGCAGGGTAATTCTTTATTCTGATATCCCGGCCAATGCCGCATCGAGCTACACACTCCGACGCTGTCCTACCCCACCATTCCAGCCCGTGACCTACCGTGGCCATTTGGGGGCGCCAGCAGGTGACCGAGGGCTGGCCAGGTTCACGTCACCGCGTCTGTCCCGGGCGCAGCGGTGGGCCCCCACCCCCAGAGAAAACGGGGGGGAGGGACCAGGGAAGGCCAGGCGGCCAGCGCTCGAAAGGGGAGCCGTGGCGTCGGCTTGCCCCGCCCTCGCGCACGGGGAACCTGACGCCACCGAGCGAAATGCTGCGCCGTGCGAGCCCCCCGCCAAGGATCGCCCACGCACCCTGCCACAATCAGTGGGCCGTTGCCCTGGCAAGTTCGCTGGCCCTTCGGGGTGCCGCCCCCGAGGTGCCCAGATCCGCTCGTGCGCGAAGGAGGGCAGAGGGGTGAGAGGGGGGCGGGGTGCAGGCACCCAGGCCTGCGGACGGGCAGCACGGCACGGCTCCTGAGCCGGAGCTGGCCTGGGCAGGGCCGCGGGCTCTGAGAATCCTCGTTCTCCTTTTGGGTGCGTGCGTATCGGGTGTGGGGGGGGGGTATGGAGTCGGGTCTCCCTCACTCGTTCAGCCCTGCCCAGGGGTTCTGCCAATCGGGACCGGTCCATGTAGCCAGCTGCGACGTTGGGCCGGTCCTCCTCCCTCCTCCCTCCTCCCTCCTCTGCCTGCTCCCTCCTCATCCTCCTCCCTTCTCCCTCCTCCCCCCTCGGGCTTGCTCTCTCCCTCTCCCCTCCTGCTCTGCACCTCCCAGCACCTCCCCGTCTCATCCACCTCACTGCGGCAGTGGCCGCGCATGAGACAGCACCCCTTGCGTGCCACGGCCCTCCATCTCTTTCCTTTCCGTCGCCCCCCTGCCCCCCCCCTGCCTCCTCCTCGTCCTCGATTTCCTTCCGCCTCCTTCTCTTCCTCCTCCGCATATCCCCCTCCTCCTCCTCCTCCTCCTTCTCCTCCTCCTCCTCCTCCTCCTCCTCCTCCTCCTCCTCCTCCTCCCCTTCCTCCTCCGCCTCTGTCTACCTTCTGCAGCCCCTCCGGACGAAGCGGACGGCGCCCGCGGCGGCGCCCCACATGACGACGCCGTCGCCGGCGGAGACCGAGAGCGGGCCGCGGCCCCCCCCCGCCCCTCCACGCCCTGTCCAGCAGGGCTCGACCGAAACGGTGTGAAACGGTGTTTTGAGGAGGAGGGGGAGGAGGAGGAGGAGGAGGAGGAGGAGGAGGAGGGGATCCCGTGGGCCAGTTTCGCTTCGGCGTCGTTCTGCAGCAGATGCGCGGAGCAGAAGACAACGCGGGGGACAGCGAGCACAAGACGAGAGCGAACAGCACTGCTTGGGTCGGGCCCTGCTGTCCAGCCGTCTGTTGGCCCTCCCTTCTGGCCCTGGCCTTCCGCCGTGGCGCCATGGGCGGACGCTCGAGCTCCAGCTCCAGCTCCAGCTCGAGCTCCAGAAAGAAGAAGAAGAGGCCTCGCGATGGAGAGGGAGGCAGGACGAGGTGGGAGGGACGAGGAACGTCGGGCAGGGCTCGACATGGTACGGCAGGGTGATGCGGGGTGAGGTGGACCGGACAGGGCAGGGCGAGGGCGTGTGGAATCGAGCAGGCTAGAGCAGGGCCGAGGTCCGACGGTGCAGAGTTGGGCTGGGCAGAGAGGAGGAGTGTGGGGTGCTCCCCCTCTTGATGATTGCATCGGCGACTCGACTCTTCGACCTCCTCCACGCTCCTCGCGGCTTGTCGCCCCGCTGCGCAGCTACAGGGCAATGCCCTGCTGCCTCGGGCCTGCTCCCGATGACGGCCGTGCCGCTCTGCGCGAGATGGGCTGTTCAGTTTGTGTCTGTGGTTCGTGACGAAGGATGTGGCTAAGCATCCTGCATCGGCCATAGGTCTGGATTGGCGCTTACGCCCTCCTGCCAACTGGTGCCCTCGTGTGAAGGATCGAGAAAGGGAATCTCGACAACCCTCGCGCGTTGCCGCCCCTCAGCAGGTCCGCCCTACTGGCTGATCTATAGGCGATCTATTGGCGATGTACCGTGGGCCTGACGCCGATCTGTTGGCGACGCATTGCCGAGCGATGCATCGCCGACTCCAGGTCGATGTTCCCCCCCAAACCCCTCCCTGAGCCTTTCTGCCTCCTTTCGTTGCCCCTCCTCTTGGGAGGTGCCGCTTCCGCTCGGCCTTCGCTCGGCCGCACGCCATCTATGTCTTCGGACCCGAATTCGGGCCTCGAGGCGCCGTTCGGGACCACTCTGACGCCCCCGGATCGCCCGCGTTGAGGCGCAGCTGCTGGAGAGCACCCCGAGGCGAGATAACCTCCTCCAGGAGCCAGCGAGAACTTCCCACAAGACTCAGCGTCAAGTTCCTCTCTCCTGCTTGTCGGAACCCGTCCAAAGCGCTTCTACCTCGGCCTTCCGCTCGGCCGCCCGCGTGGACTAGCGGCGGGCCCCGCTTCCATACAGACTCGGCGTGCTCAGTCGCCTGTCCTGGCGCCACTGGTCTCACGTTTTGGGGGGGGCGCCTCCTCCTCCTCCTCCTTTTCCTCCTCCTCCTCCTCCCCCTCCTCCTGCTCCTGCTCCTCCTCCTCCTCCTCCTCCTCCTCCTCCTCCTCCTCCTCCTCCTCCTCCTCCCCTCTCCTCCCCCTCCCCCCCCCTCCCCCTCCCCCTCCCCCACCCCCGCTCCCTCCCCCGCAAGGGGCCTCGCGCCCGCCCGTTCTTGGGGGAGTGGCAGAGAGGGCACCCCCTCACAGCAGACAAGTGAGTGGCCCGTTGGGTTGCCCCGGAAGTCTGCGGCTCCAGATCCTGTTGTTGCGCGCCCCTCCCACTTGCTCATGGGATGCCCCTGTTTCTCTGTTTCGCTCCACTGCTGGCCCCGCTGCTGCCCCGCGGATGGCCCAGCCATGCCCCGCGGAAGGCCCACGACGGGCTTTCCTAACGGCCCGCGAATGAATTTGGCCCACCAGTGGCCACTAAGGAGTCACTAATGGCCCACTACAGCGATATTCGACTGACTCGCTTCTCATCTCGCTCTCGCGTTGTCGCGATTCCAGCGATCATTAGTAAGTTAGTACGGTAGTCATTAGCGTGCCACTGGTCAGATTCAAAGTTTCTGTGAAGCAGGGCCGTCGACGCTATGAAGAAAGCTACTAGCATGTGGCCATGCTTTCTTGAGCGGCCATTCGTCGAGTCCTGAAGTACTGTGAGGCGGGGCCCTTCACGACACATGCCAGATCCACGGACTCATACCCGATGTCAGCGTGCGCCCGCCCTGACATCTTCTGCTGTTTCTGCGCCCGTCGGGGAACTACGACGGAAGGTTTTCTGCTGTTTCTGGCATCCGGGTGCCGTCTGGGACAGTCAGACAACGACTCGGGGTGACAGGCTGCTCCCGGGAGCGGGGCCAGGACCTCCGGGAACCGGGTCCGGCCGCTGGGGTCTGGGCCTTCGGTCGCCCGCGGGCCTCCGCCTCTGCCGGCGCGAAGGGAGGACGACGAGCAGAGGGAGGAGGAGGAGGAGGAGGAGGAGGAGGAGGAGGAGGAGGAGGAGGAGGGGGAGGAGGAGGAGGTGGAGGAGGAGGAGGAGGAGGAGGAGGAGGAGGGGAGGGGGGAGGGGGGGACGAAGATCAGCCTGGCAGGGGGACGTACGGACTAGTCGGGTGAGCTGTGGCGGGAAGGTTCGTGGAGCTCCGCGAGCAGCTTCGGCGCGCTGGCACCTTCGCGCGCGGCCCCAGGGGGCAGCTCTGAGGGAGAAGAGGCGCAGCTTTGCAGAGGGGGACTTTGCACGGATGGGCGTGCGGGAGGGCTGCTCGTGGAACGGGGAGGAAAGGGCCGCGGGGGAGGAGCTCGAAGAAGGACAAGAAGCGCGACCGGAAGGAAAAGGATGCGGAGAAGAAGAAAATGTTGATGGCCAAGATCGCGGACAATTGGAAGAGACGAGAGAAAGACGAAGCGGGGATAGGGAGTGAAGAGCTTCAGGGCTGTAAGCCCTTGTCCTGGCTTAAACCTAATGTTTACCTATCTCCTTGCCACCCTGGTCATCTTCCCGTAGGTGCCATCCTTTGATTTCTGATTCGGCAGTACCATTGTAATTACTTATGTGTGCTCAGTGTCGCCTCATCATTCGGGAGACCCTGTGTAGTCCCTCCATCTCTCGCACTCCAGGCCAGGCTATCTTGCGACGGTGATCAATGATCCTCCATGTGATTGCCGGGACCGCCTCGAAGGCCCCTTTATGCTTAATGGGGTCCAGCCTTCGAGCACAGCCTCTTTACCAGGACCTGGCAGTGTGATGGGCATGAAGCTGAACATGACAGGGCCTGCGGCACAGTCGATCGGTACACTGTCCGATGGAAATCGTGTGCTGGTCTAGCCGTCTGTCGTCTGCGGCAGTCCGAGATGACAGCGCGCTGCGAGCCAGCAGCGCTTGGCGCCCGCGGCATGCCCAATAGTAGGCAGACAGGGAGCGCGCGTGGCATCTTTTACGCATGTACACGGCACGCACCTCCATGTTTACGCAAGGATGGGCCCATGCCCGCATCTGTCGCGGGCGCTCTTGAGCGGATGGGTGCCAGGTCTCGTGTCTGTCTTTCTCCCCCCTCTGCTGTTCAAAAGGTCCTGGTCACTTTTGATAACGTCATGTGCACCATTCGTTGTGCTTGGCATGCGAGTCGTTCGTTGGGTGACGTGTATGCCGCCATGCCCGCGCCTCGTCCTGTCCCCCCTCCCCCTCTCCCCCTTTCTCAGATGTTCGTTTCGGGGGCCTTCCTGGGACCCACCTAACGGAGCTGTTCGACTCCAGTTAGGTTCTACTTAGTTCGACTCCAGCTAGACTCAAGGTCGGCTCGGATTCGACTCGAGTCGACGAACGTTCGACGCAGGATCGACGCAGGAGTGGAGCGAGTGGCTCCAGGCAGGTCTCCGGAAAGAGCATCTAAGCTGGAGGCTGGGCACTGACGCTTTGTGGGGGGAGGTCGGGGTGAGCTGGGCATGCCCTTGCAAGAACATTCTGCGAAGAGCCCTTTCAGTCGTCCCCTGTTTTGCTGACCTTCATCAGTGGCCTGCCGACCTGAGCTCTACCTTCCATCCCGCCCTCCCCCTCCCCCTCCCCTCTATGGCCGCGGCCCTGGCGATCGATTCGGCCTTCGAGACCCCTCCTTCGTGGGAGGAGCTCGAGGAGAAGGGTGGTTTCAGATGTAGGAGATGTTCTCTGGTTTCTCTTAACAGCGATGCCCGACCTGTGAGTGGCTGTGCTGGTTGCTCCACGGCTCTCAGGCGCCTTGTGGGTGTTGGGACCGAGAGGCGCCATAAGTTGGGCTTCGCTGTTTTGAAACCAGACTCAAAAGCAGTTTTTGTTGCACCCGATGTGGTGCGCACACCTGCCGACGTTGTCACTTGCTTGGCCAGGTTTGTCTCGAGCAGCTCGGAGCCTCGGGAGAAAGCGCTCTTACACGGATTCGGGATGGCCACCACCCTCACTACATGCCTCTCAGGGCGCCGCCCAAGGCGGTGCTCCTCGCCCCTCCTGGCCCCGCCTCGGCGGGCATGGCGCGCGGAGCCGACAACGATCGACTGTGTGCCCTGGCCGAACGGATTCGGGCCAAGGAGGCAGCCGCTCCGTGAGCGGCCTGAGATCATGGATGTTCTGGCTCGTGCGTTCTGGTCCCGTGGGCCTTCTTGGGATGAGGCTGCCGCGCAAGAGTTGCCAGAGTGTGGCAACCTTGAATGGCTCGCCACGGGCGTGTCTGCATCTGCGCTTTTGCGCTGTTTTCCTTACCCCGCGGCGCCCACAAAGGGGTGGCGCGAGGGGGGGGGGCTTCTAAGAATGCTGGGGGGGGGGGCTTCTGAGAAGGCAGGGGCCTTCCCAGAAGGCCCCGAAGGCTCCTGACATGGCTTCCTGGAAGCCTGGAGCCGCTTGCCTTTGTGAGCTTCCCCTTCGCCTTCTTCGAACTCCTCGCGCCAACCCTCTGTGTGACGTTAGCTTATACTCTGCCCCGTGGTGCCCCTTTGGTCCTCTAGGACTCATGTCAGTGGCCAGCGAAGGTCCCGCCGGCCCGCGACAGGCAGGTTCGGAGGCCTGCCACAGCTGCTCGTGGACTCCATCCGTCCACGGGCGAGGTCCTTGAGGGCCAGCCAGTTTGTTGTTTTTCCGTGTTGGCTTCGGAGGCGCACAGGCCTCCTCGAGCTGTCCCGACTCAAGCTCGTGGCATGCGGCGGCGATATGAGCCTCGATTCGATTGGATGCGCTTCCCAGCTCGGTCACTGTCTCATCGGTGCTTTCCAGACTATGGCCCCCCTCCACGCCATTGCCTCAGGCAGGCAGCAACTCCAACTGCTGTGCGTGCGAAGGACTTGGCTCCTCATTGTTCTGGGCCTCCAGTATGACGTCTTTGGTTGTTTTCCATCTCCCGTCTCTTGGCTGGCTTCCCCGTACAGGCCCCCGTGCCGACCACATCATTGCTTGCCTGACTTGAGCCGCGGCGCACGTCACTGTTCTGCACGCAGCTCTTTCTCGGACTCAACGACCGGGCGGTCAAGCGAAAGCCGCCATCGCTAATCAGCAGCGTGGCTGTTGTGCCGCGGACACCGGCAATCATGAGCTTGTGCTGGACGTCGGAGCCAGCGCTGCTGCTCTGCGGATTCATACGTGTCTGTGCTATGGTGCCCAAGGTACACATGCAATTCGTATCCCACGCGCCTGGCCAGCCTGCATGGCCGTGGCACCAAACGTCGGCCCAGAGTAGTGTGTTCCGACGTTCCAAAGGAGGTGCCGCTAGCCTGTCCACCGACGCCCGTGGGCAAAGACGAGCTCCCGTGTCGGTGAGGTGCTCGGTTACCGAGGCGTCGATAGCCAATGACGACAGAGGATGACAAGGATGTTTGGCCGTTGTGTCGCCAGGGCTACAGTGAGCCCGTCAATGCTGCCATGTCTAGTCATTCGGATGTTTTGCGCTCCAGTGATTCGGCGGTGTGTCCTCTAGAGGCGTTCGCAGGCCACCCGTCGCGCGGTGGGGCTTTGCTTGGCTGTGCCACCTGGCCCCTCGGGCCAAGCCAACGCCCCACCAACATGACCCTGCCTGCGCCTTGGCGGCGACCGTGTGTGCTGCGGTTTGCGAGGCTCTCCTCCTGTCCCCCTCGCCCCCCTCCCCAGGTGCGGGGAAACGTAAGACTCGAGTGCGCTGGAAATCGGGTTTGCCGACGCTTTTTTGAGGAGCGCGTCCTGGATTTTGACGGTCCAGTTTTTGTGGGATGTCTGCAGCGGGAGCTCGCGTCAAATTTCAGAGACTGGGTCTCGTCATTTTCATGATGGCCCCGTCAGGCCAGCCCGAGGGCCCCGAACCCGAGCCCTACGCCTCCCCGATATATACTCGACGCCCAGAGTCTCACTACGTATTACGTATTTCGGATGCTGGCGGGGCCTTGCATCTCGTGGGGGCGCAAGCAGAAGCCGAAACTGCGCGGCAGGAAGGGCCAGAGGGAGACCCGGGAGCAGGGAGGCCGAGTGGCACGGTTGGATTTGCCCCTGCGGGACCAAGAACCTGACCATGCGGGCGAGGACGCTCGGGCTTGCTGCCTCTGTGGGATGCCCTCGCTGCGCAGAGTCGTCCGATCCTCACGCCCTCTCCTTCTCCCCTCTCCCCGTGTGGGGGAGGATGGAGTAGGGTGGGGTGTTCGACTAGACGCAAGAGTGACCTTTCGCCGGAGTGACCTTTGGTGCGGGCCCAATGGGTCCCCCCCGATCGCTGAACGCGAAGCAGTGGCAGCGGCTTGCGCGCCCGGATTTGGCCACCCCGCGTCCCCCGTTAAGTCGCGCACCAAAGGTTATTCTTGCCTAGGGTCACCCTTACGTGTAGTCGAGGGGGGGGGGGGAGAATTGGGTTGGTGGACGCAGCGAGGGCCTCCTACTCCGCCTTGCTTTTTGCGAATGTGGTGTCGCAGAGGGGCAGACAGGGTCGTACGCGGCAGCGCAGCTGGGGGGTGAGGGAGAGGGCGGAATGGTCGCGGACAAGCGGGCGGGCATATGAGACATACGACGTCAGTATTCTTAATCTGTTCGCTCGCCGTCGGGAGAAGAAAGAGGATGAGGAAGTTGACGAGGAGGAGGAGGATGAGTAGACGGAGGAGGGGGTAGGAGGAAGGAGCACGGGGACGGGAAGGAACTCTTTGTTTTCAGAATTTCTCGCCGCCGCGCCGTTCACCCCAGTCGCCCCGCTCGCTGCGTCGAAATTATCAGTATTGTTCAACTCCGCTATGCTCTCTGTGTCTGTTAGATGTTGCCATTCGTCTACTGGCACTTCCTTCTCTTCTCTTGCACGTCCTCCTTGGAGGATCCGTAATCATTGTGGCTCAAGGCTGCCAGGCTTCGAAGGGGAGAGCGACCAGACCTAGTGCCGAAATAGAGTCTCACTCATTAGATGATGCTCCTCACTACCGCCTTGCTGCTGTCTCTTGCCCGCTCTTCAGATGTGGAAGCCGTGTGCGCAGGAGGTGAGCCGTGCGCCTCAGGCGAGCAGGAGCAGGAGACTGGCATGCTCCAGAAGACTTCCGGTTGACGCACACCAAGCGAGATGAAATCTTGAAGGTCGCTTACCTGCCCACAACGCGGCGGACTGCTACGAGGTGCCGAACATCAACACTGGCCTGCAGATCGAGTGCACTTCGGGGGCTGCTTCGAGGACTATCCTTGCAGGCGCGTCGACAGCGCTGCCGCGCTGCCGCAGGGGTAGTACACGCCCAGCCACACGGCGGATAGCTACGACGTGCCCACCACCAGCACCGGCCTGCAGATCGAGTTCGACTCGGTTTGCCCGGGCCCCGGGCCAGGGCAGCTTCGAGGACTATCCTTGCAGGCGCGTCGACAGCGCGCTGCGCTGTCGCAGGTGAACTATACGCCCAGCGGCGGATTGCCACAAAGTGCCGAATCAGCGCAGGCCTGCAGATCGAGTGCGCTCCGGCCTGCCTGGGCCAGGGCTGCCTGCATGACTATTCTTGCAGGCGCGTCGACGGCTCGGCCGCGATGCTGCAGGTGAAGTATACGCCCAACAACACGGCGGTCTGCTGCGCAAGGAGCCGAGCATCAACGCTGGCCTGCAGATCGAGTGCGGCTCGGCCTGCGCGGGCCAGAGCTGTGTCGAGGTTCATCCTTGCAGGGGTGCTATTTGGTGCAATGTCTGTGGTGCACGCTATGCGGTGCAAACCATGTGGGGCAAGCTACGCAGTGCATGCTGTGCGGTGCAAGATCTGTTGTTCCAACTATGTGGTGCAAACTGCGTGATGCGTGCTATGCGGCGCAGGATATGCGGTAGAAGCTATGTGGTGGAATCTTTGCGTTGTCAGGTCTGCGGTGTAAGCTGCGTGGTGCAAACCATGTGACGGGCGCGTGGTGCAAACTACATGGCGCAAGCTATGTGGTGCAAGCTGCATGGTGCAAGCTACGCAGTGCCTATGCGGTGTCAGCTTTGTACATAAGATGGCATGCGCCGGGTCACGTGCGGCGGTGTGGCGAGTCGTCGGCGCACCTATCCAGCATGCGAAGCGACCACAAGGCGCCTACGGGCGGAAACGGGAGGGAACATGGCGAAGCTTCGGCGCATTGCTAATGAAGAATCCCTAAATGCAAGCACTGTTTGGGGAATAGCACCCGTGTGGGTGCAAACGGATTGTCCTGTCACATGTCACGGCGATGTTTTGACTTGATCTTGTTCTGTTGCCCAGAAACGTTTCATGGTATTTGACTTTGCATCGGTATGCAGCGCAAGGCGGCGCATTGCAGTACACCACATGGCATTGCTTGCATGGCATTGCTTTGACTTTCTATTAGTTGATGTGCTCAGTGTTGGTTTGCAGTGTGCAGTACGTCGCTTTGCTTCGTTTCGCATTGTTTGGAACCTATTCGCGTCGCATTGCTTTTTTTCCTCGCACTGCATTTCTTTCATTTTGCATACTTCGCATTGCTTGCGCTCCATGTCTTTGAACCGCATTGCGTTGCGCTGCGTTGCGTTGCGCCGAGCTTGCACTAATTTGTGTTATTTACTGGGTGGAGGTTCTCGAGGAACGAGCGCGACATCTCCGATGAATCGGAGACGGTATCCTCAATCAACCCGTCCGTGCTGCTGATGCTGCTGATGCTGTATTTTTTCTCATCCTCTTCCTGATCCTCCTCGTTTTCCTCTCGTCCTTCTCGTTATCCTCGTTCTCCACGTTCTTCTCCTCCACCACCTCCTCGTCCTCCTCCTCCTCCTCCTCCTCCATTCCTTATGAATCAAAGAGCGTGTTCTACCGCTGCTGGCGGAAAACCAGGGGGGGGCACTACCGGTTCGAACCCCTCCCCCCCCCCCTCAGGAAAACGGGGGGGGGGTCACTACTGGTTCGAACCCCTCCCACCCCCCGTTCATCATGAAAAGGGGGGTGGGGTCACTACCGGTTCGAACCCCCCACCCCCCTCGAACTCGAAAACCGGGGGGGGTCACTACCGGTTCGAACCCCCCCCCCTCGAAAACCAAACCGAGGGGGGGTGCGGACAGTGGTGGGGGCGGTGGTGGTAGGGACAGTGGTGAGGGGACAGCGGGACAGTGGTGGGGACAGTGGGACAGTGGTGGGGACGGTAGTGGTGGGGACAATGGTGAGGACAATGGTGGGAACAGTGGGGACAGTGGGACAGTGGTGGGGACGGTGGTGGTAGGGACAGTGGTGTGGGGACAGTGGGAATGTGGTGGAAACAGTAGGACAGGGGAGGGTACAGTGGTGGTGGGGACACTGGTGTGGGGACAGTGGTGGGGACAGTGGGGACAGCTCAGTGGGACAGCGGAGGAGTCAGTGGGACAGTGGGGACAGTGGGGATAGTCGGGCAGTGGTTGGGGCCGTGGAGAAAGTTGGGAGAGTGGAGCCGTGGTGGGAACAGTGGCGGGGACAGTGGGGACAGTGCGACAGTGGTGGTGGCACTGGTGGGGACAGCAGGGGCGGTGGTGGAACCAGTGGGGACAGTGGTGGTGAGGACTGGTGCTGGGAACAACAGTGGGGCATGTGGTGAGGACGGTGGTAGGGATTGGGAGTCGTTTGCTGGCGGTGAGAGGGGGGGGGGTGGGGAGGCGTTCGAACCGGTAGTGACCCCCCCCCTCCGGTTTTCGAGGGGTTGGGGGGGTTCGAACCGGTAGTGGCCCCCCCCGGTTTTCGAGGGGAGGGGGGGGGGGAGGGGTTAGGGGAGTGGGGGGGTTTTGCCGGGGGAGGGTGGGGGGGGAGGGGTTCCAGCGGGGGGGGGATTTTCGGAGGGGGGGGGGGACCCCGGGTTCCCGGAGGAAAAGGGCGGCAGTTTTCCACAGTAAAGCGGCGGTGGATCACGCTCTCTCTCATGAATGAGTCGTCCCCGTCGCACCACGAGGCCAGTCGGAGGGGCGGGCCGGGCGTTTCGCCGGAGGCCTCCTTACCATTTATAGCCCTGGCGCTTGAACACTGGCAGCAGTTCCACGGACGGAGGGCGGGCGGTTTCCAAGATGTGGCTCTCGCTCTGGCGCCGCACACGCTCGTTGTGACAATTCGCATGGGTTTCACGAGGTTAGGGCGTGCCACTTGCAAAACGCGGGCTCTCGCTTTTGCGCCGCGCACATTCGTCTGAAAAGTCTGCAAGGGCTTCACGGATTGAGGGCGCGTAGTTTTCAAATGTGGTTCTCGTCATCGCGCCGCGCACATTCATTCTGAACATGTGCAAGACTTTCACGCATTGAGGGCGGGCCGTTTTCGAAATGTGGCTCTCGCCTCAGCGGCGAGCGCATTCCTTCTAGACAATTGGAAGAGTTTCACGGGTTCCCATGGTTAGCGTAACCGAACTGATTCAGGATTGTCAGGGCGCCACATTTACATTGATTCGCGGTGTTGAAGACCTGGGAGTTGTGTTCTGGCATGATTCAGGAACGTCAAGCCGCAACAGTAAGGGTAATTCGCGGCGTTGACGTCCCAAGGATGGTGTTCTGGCACAGTTCAGAATCTTAAAACGGTAGTCTACCAACGTGGCATTTCCCTCAGTGAAAATGAACCCTTGCAGGGTCCTGTGAAGAGGGAGCTTGGAGGGAGGGTTGTTGCAATGCCGTTGATGCGTCTTGGGTTTACATTGGTACTCCTCTTCCTCCTCCTCCTCCTCTTCCTCCTCCTCCATTCATGTTCCTTATGAATAACTCCTCCCTGTCGCACCCCGATGCCAGTCGGAAGGGCGGGCTGGGCGTTTCGCCTGAGTCTTCTTTACGACGTGTGAGCCTGAAGCTTAGAACTTATCAACAGCTTCACATATGGAGGGCGGGTGGTTTTCGAACTGTGGTTCTCGCTCTAGCACCGCGCATATTTGTTTTAGAATTTGCAAGAGCTTCTCTGATTGAGGGCGGGTCGTTTTCAACATGCGGCTTTTAGGCTACGCACATTTGTTTTCAAACTTTGCACAGGTTTTGTTCTGACTTGTTACATCACGCCTTTGCGCCGCGCACATTCGTCTCAAACATTTGCAGAAGTTTGACGGATTGAGGGCGGGCCGTCTTCAAAATGTGGTTCTCGCCTGAGCGCCGCGCACATTCGTCTTAACCTGTGCAACCGTTTCACGGATTGAGGGCGTGTAGTGTCCAACATGTCGCTCTCGCCATAGCGCCGCGCGCATTTGTCTTCAACATTCGTATGGTTTTGCGGATGTAGGGCGGGCCGTTTTCAACATGTAGTTTTCGTCTTAGCTCCGCGCACATGCCGTTTAATACATTGCAAGAGTTTCGCGAGTGCTCATTGTTCACCATCCAGAATGGTGCTTCGGAACGATTCAGGATTGTCAGGGCGCAACAGCTACATTGATTCGCGATGTTGAAGTCCCAGGAATCGTGTTCTGGGACGATTCAGGATAGTCAAGCCGCATCAGTCAGGTTGACTCGTGACGTTGAAGTCCTGGGGATGCTGTTCTGGCGCAGTTCAGGATCTCCATACGATTGTTTCCCAACGTGGCACTTCCCTCAGCGGAAGTGAACCCAAATCGCTGATGAGTCTTATGTTTGCACTGCTCCTCCTCCTCCTCCTCCTCCTCCTCCTCCTCCTCCTCCTCCTCCTCCTCCTCCTCCCCTGCCCTATCCTGCATACCGCGTTCCCACCGCTTCAGGTGTTATTCCTGCATGCAGGTGAAGCCACTGACTGCCATGGCCAGGGGGCTCGGCTCCGCCGTGGCAGACATCGAGCGGTCCCGTGGCTTGCGCCAGGAGGCTCGGGGCGACTGCCGGAGAGAAGGGCGAGGGAGGTGAGGAGCAGCGCGGAGGGGAGGAGAAGGGACCAGTAGGGGTGACTTGGTGGGCTTGGCCAGCAGGGAGAGGGAGGAGCCTGCGGGGAGAGGGGGAGGATCGGGGAGAGGAAGGGCGCGGAGGGTAAAGGAGAGTAGGTGAGTCGAAGGAATGGGTAGGTGAGGGTGCGAAGAGGGTGAGCGGAAAGAGAAAAGGGGGACATGGGTGGGGGGCAGCAATTCAAGGGGGGAGGGAGGGGCAGCGGGGAACGGGAGGGTGCCGAGGAGACGATCTGGGCGCCGGGGGCCGTTCGTGAGCTCGTCCTTACGACTACTGCGTGCGTCCTCTTTCCCTCGGCACCAGCACGCCATGATGATTGGGGTGTCAGGTGATGGCCTGGGCTCTTTTGCTGAAGTAAAACAAGGTGTTCTCACACGGCGCCTGGGGAAAGAGATGTCAGGTCTTCTCCTTCATGTGGGGTCGCTTGGAGCCACAGGAATGTGATTTGGGAGATTCCTCTACTCATTTGCCCCATCATCCCATTCAGTACATATCAACAGCAGGGGGAGCCCATCTCGGTTTGCCCGCAAGTCGAACCGGGCCGGTCGAGCGGTCTAGGTCCCACGGTGGTCGGCCCCACGCGCTTCTGTTTGCTTGGGCTTCGCCGCGCGCCCCGGGGCGAGCACGTAGGCAGGAGACAGGGAACAGAGGAGCGGATTAGGGTGGGAGTGGAGGACAGACGATGCCAGAAGAGTGCGTCCAGGCCACCCAACTGGGATCCGTGTAGGTGGGGTCGGAGGACCTCGCTGCATCGGCGATGCGGCTCGATGTGGGGCCCGATTCTCTCCACGTCGGCGGTGCCAATGCATCGGCGATGCGGCGCGATCCTCCGACACAATCTACTCGTCCCCCATTCGGGAGACATGAACTGAATGAGCAGTATCCTCAAGCGTGGAGCCGTGAGCGGGAGAACAGGTATGCGCTCCGGCACCCAGCGCGCGGCACGTGCCGAAACATGCTGCCCAGACGGTATATTTGCCGCTGGCATGTCGTCATCGACCTGATCTTGGCCTGCACGTCCAGTATGGCAATGACTCGTCAACAGCATTGCGTCCCGCCGAGGCGAGTTGCGACCGCAGCACGTCAACTCGAACGGGGTTCATGGCTCAATCCGAGCGGATCAGATGTGTAGGCTTGACGCCACTGAAGACGCTTGTCATCATCCATGAGCTTAGCCTGCTTGCCAGCAACTACCAATGCACGGCTCATCGCATGGTTCATGTGGCGATACACGACCAGGCCCACATATCGCAACAGGCCAGGCGATTTTCACACGATTGAGGCAGCGTGACGATCTCGCCGGCAAGAGAAAGTCACTGTCAGAGGAGATCAGTGTCCGTGCCGCTCAGGCTCTCTCGTTGCCAAGTCTCGCCTTGGTCTCAGCATCCTCCTTGCGCAGCAGCAGGACGTCGACTGGCAGTACCAGACTGCAAGATGGGACGAACATGCGCAGGAGGCGGATGAGAACCGGGAGGAAGCGGAGGAGGAGGAGGAGGAGGAGGAGGAGGGAGGAGGAGGAGGAGGAGGAGGAGGAGGAGGAGGAGGAGGACGAGGACGAGGACGACGACGAGGAGGAGCGAGGAGGAGGAGCGAGGAGGAGGAGGAGACGAGAAGCCAGGAGGATGAGGAGGATGAGGAGGAGGAGGAGGAGGAGGAGGAGGAGGAGGAGGAGAAGCGAGGAGGCGAGGAGCGAGGAGGAGAGGGTGCACAGGAGGAGCCTCGGCGGCGGCAGCGGAGCGCAGACGGGGCGGCTCCCCGGGAGGAGAAGAAGGAGGCGCAGCCGTCTCCCTCGAGGAGCCGGAGCGGCTCGAGGCCCGGCTGCGGCGCTCTCTCTGCCCGCGAGGGGCGTCCAAGAGGGGGATGCCTCCAGAGACCACTCTCCGAGGAGGAGCAGGTGGCCACACCGCTGCCCTTCTCTCGTTTTCGCGTGTTTGGGCCTCCTGGGAGGCCCTCGTCGCCACCGCTGGATTCGCCTCGAAATTCTGGGCAGAACACACTCTGGGAGAGGTCTGGGGAGTAGCGGTATGGGTACCTTTTGGAATCCCCGCTTTCTCCCCTCTTTCTCCTCCTCCTCCTCCTCCTCCTCCTCCTCCTCCTCTTCCTCGTCCTCCTCATGGAGCGCGAGCGCTGGTTCGACGACGACTCATGCCCCGTTCCCGCCTCCTTGTCCTCCCTCCTCGTTCCCTTCGTCCATCCCCAGGCCTCCCAGATGAATCCGAGTAGATGGGGTCGGAGTATCCCGCCATGTACTCGGACCCCATCTGTGAGGCCTCCAGTGACGACTGGGGGAAGGGTGTGGGAAGTGTTCGCTGCTCTTGGGGGTTATCTCGCCTTCTCGTTCTAGCTCATGGGGACCTCGTCCGAAGGAGAACACCGGCCTCGCACAGTCCATCGGGGTGATGACCAGGGGATGACCAGTTCTTGGGTCATGGCGCGTACGAGTCTGAAATTCGGTAACATGTGTAATTCAAATAATTTTTAACCATCCATTGTCACAATTTTGCAGAGTGTAATGTCAACGGTCAAGGTCAACTGTCAATGCCAAAGGCACGTGGGAAGTCGCTGGCTCTAAGTTTTTTCCCCGCCTTTTTCGTTTCTAGCTCACGGGGGCTACATCCGAAGGAGAGCACCGTCCTCGCACAGTCGAAACAGCGGGCGAACCCTCGAAGCTGCCCACGGCTTTTTTTCCCTGAGGAGGCATAACCTGGGAAGCAGACGGAGTCTTTAAGAGGATGCGACTCACGCTCGGCCAGGTGCCGCAGTGACCCCGCCTGCATGCTTTCCAGCGTGCCTCGGCGCGAGCTTGCTGGGGGGGCCTAGATCGTCTCGAACTGCCGCCAGATGTCCGAGCCGAGTCAGTGCCCGAAAGCCACCAGGCGTCGAGGGGGGTGGTGACTTTTGGTGGGTAAGTGGACTTTGTTTCAACGCGTCCCCTGGTCCTCCCCCCTTGGGCCGCGCACGTGCCTCGGGCCATGATTTGTGAGCCTCCCTCTTGGACCCCCCCCTCGCGGACGCCCCCGATGTGTTCGCTCGGCGCCTCGAGTGCGTGATGCCTCCGCCAGTCTTTCTTCGCTCCTTCGCCTTCAGGGGAGGAGAGGCCCGGGGGGCCAGCCAGAAAGGTCGGAGCCACCCAGGCTTCGGCAGGGCCGCCTCCCAAGAAGGAGGGGCGCGGCAGGAGGGAGGAGGGAGGGGCGCGGAGGCACGGAGGAGGCATGCACCGCCCGCCCCGCCGGCGCACAACCCTCGTCCTTCTCCTCATCTTGCGGAGCCACCATCCTGATCCTCCTCGCCTTTCCTCCTTGCGCATCTGCCGCTCCCGACTCCCGCTTTGGGCCCCCCCTCGCAGTCTCGGCTCCTTCGTGGCCGCCCCCACCTCCGGTCGCCTCCTTCGCGGCTCCTGGGTGGATCCTCGCCTCAGGGGCAACATCAGGGTGCTATCGGCTCAAGGGGCTATGCATCGACCCCCGATCGCCAGTTCATCGGCCACGTGTCGCCGATTCCAGGTGCTTCCCCCCCGTCGATGCCCCTCAGGTTGGAGAGAGATGCGCACCGTTCCCCCTCACCCGTGGATGGTACCCCTCCCTCCCCATGGTGCCATGCGCGTCCCCACAGTCCTGGTTCAGCCCAGATCTTGCACACGCCCGCCCGCAGCGTAAGCACTCGGGCGGTGAGTCAGATCCTGCACGGCCCCCCCCCCCTCCAGCGAGAGCACTAGGGCGTTTAGTCTCTCCCGCAGGCACGTGATTTTTGTCCACCTGGCGTTGCACGCCGCTCACTGCTTTGGTCCACCGGCGGGGCCTCGTCCTCCCGCGCCCTCGCTCCTCCTCCTCCTCCTCCTCCTCCTCCTGCTTCTCCTCCTCCTCCTCCTCCTCGTCCTTCTCCTCTTCCTCACTCAGATAGGAGGGGTCGCCGCTGTTTGGCCCGAGCGTTGGCCCCGCGGTCTACATCTTATTGCCGCCATGCTTTCTCTTCTACAGCTTCCAACCCCCGCAGTTCTAGCTGGTAGCAGAGCTTGGAGCGACCCCAGCTCGCGATCCATGGAAGGTGCGAAGAGTGCGGTGTGGACGCGCATTCGCATTTACCTTCACCTCCGCATCGGTACAACCCTCCATTCCTTGAGTAGCCTCGAGATCGCTAATATCTGTGGCAGCACATGTATTGATTTTACGATCGCGGGACCCATAGAAGAAATTCAACAGAGCCAGCTCGATCGTTGCCAAGTCTAAAGACACATACAATACCTTTTGCCAAACAGATCGGCAAATCGTTAGATACTTGTCGCGCCGTTGCCAAAACGTGTCAGCAAAACAAAAAAGGGGGAGACATTGATGAATATTCGGCCTCTTGGGGCCTCCTGGGGGATTCTTGGACACCTTGGGGCGGAAGGCTCGAATTGTGGGTTCTGGCTCCCCCTCTGTGGCTTCTCTTGGAGCGGTCTTGAGGCCCTCTGGGGCCGTAGTGGGCGCCTCTTGGGCTGTCTTGGGACTTTCCTGGGCCGTCTCGGGGCAATCTTGGGAGCCTTTTGGGCAGTCTTGGAATCTGGGGGCGGTTTTGGGAGCCTCTTGGGCAGTCTTAAATGCCGTGAAAGCATCGCCCGCTTTCGGCCAACCTCGGGCGGCGATGGCTTGGGCAGTCGTTGGAGGCGATGGGGAAGGTGGAAGCCGTCGCAGAGCCTGAAAAGGGGCCGCGCCTCAGCCGCCGATGGAGCCAGCTGGTGACAATTTGCTTGGCACCAGGGGATCGGCCAGGCGAAACCAATCGACAAGTGAGTCGTAATCCTCCGGCTCCTCGCCGACGGATTGGCGACTCATGCGTGGATGGGTTTCGCGAAGTCACCCAGTCGCGTGCGATAGATTACACAACGCGTCGACACCTCAATCGACTGGTTGCGCAACGTGTCGACACCTCAATCGACAGGTTTGCGATTGATCCAATCGTGGTCGACAGGTTGTGCAACAGGGTTCGCGCGTTTCCGGCGCGCGGTCGCCAGGTTGTGCGACAGGGTTCGCGCGCTTCCGGGAAGCGCAGTTTGGAACGGGAGCATTCCGGGGAAAAGCTCGGCGCAGGGTTGCGCGGCAACGCCATGGCGTAGTGGCAGAGACTAAGATAGCAGGGGAAGACAAAGGCGAGGAAAACGAGGGCGAAGACGAGAGCGAGGGCAGCGAGGATGAGGACGCGGAAGACAACGGGCAGAAGGAGGAGGATGATATGAATGATGAGCGTGGTTTGTTCAATGCAATATGCGGTCCATTCCAAAGGCGCATGCGTGAGACGATGAGTGATTCACCATTAAAGATTGCATCGTGGAGCGAGCGACCAGGTTTGAAAGACAGCGCGCGTTGATCGACGGGCAATCCGAATCCTTGGGCGTGCGTTCTACATTGCGCCCTGGCCGAATCAATGCGTTCGAAAGACAGCGTGCAATGATCCGTAGGCGATCAGGAGCAGTGGGCGTGCATCTTATTGTGCGCCCTGACCAAGTCAATCGGATTTTCAACAGACTTGCTCACGTGGAAAAGCCAGAGTTTACAGCATACGTTAATATCAAGAGTAGCTTGTGCTGATAGCTGTTCTGCAAGCCAGCCGGCAGTTCGTTTCGGACACCCGGTCCGACTGCGAGGGCAACAGCAGAAGGCGCAATCGCGATGAGGAACGGTTCGCCCACAGGATCGCCACGATTTTTCTTCGACCCACCGTGTCCCGACAGTCGTTGGCCGTAGCATCGCTTCGGGCATGACTGCGCTCCATCTTGGGCTAGCGCCATGCCCCGGTGCGCGTGCGATAGTGCTGGCTGTCCATGTGAGCACATCGCACCGCCCGAGTGGGGCGCTGCAAGTCCATGTGCCGGCTTCCCCGACCTCGGCTTCGACCAGAGTTGACAGCGTCATCGTCGCGGCTGCCCAACACTTCGGCGCGGCGTTCGTCCCTGCGCGGGCCCGGGCCCCAGGGCGCCTGCGCAGCCATCATCGTGGCGAGGTCTCATCGAGGAGGATATCCATGTCGACGTTCTGTGGCAGCGCCCTCGCGTTCTTCGCGGCCGCCCCCTTCTGGCTCGCAGGCGTGGTGCCCGGTGGGGCTTGGCCCGCGGGGCGGCGGCGGCCGCGGGGCCATCGCGTGCGCCCCGCCAGGCGCCCCCATAGTCACCCGATCGCGAGTCTGCGGATCCCTTCCGCCGCTGGGTGCAGGACTGGCTTGCCCGAACATGAAAAGCGCTCAAGAATGCGTTGCCGTCATCCTCAACTGCGGCGGGGCCGCTCGCGAGCTCGCGCGCTCCATGGGCTTCGCGGAGATGACGGGGGGGGGGGGTGGTCAACGGCCAGCCAGGGGACGCCGCGACCCACCTCGTCGCGAACCTCGCCACGCAGCGCGGCCCACTAGGCGAGGAGTCGCGCCTCCAGGCAACCCGCGAAGTCTTTGTGTTATGGAGGCGACGCAGCGAAACCACCGAAGGCTGCTCTCGAGGTTTCTCGCGCTGCGATTCTGAGCTACGCGCGGCGGTGGGGCTGCGATGTCGCGGCGGGGCTACAGCCGGCTGCTCCCCCGAGCAGTCCGCGTCGCAGCTAGCCAACTCACGGCGCTGCTCCAGCCGCGCGGCAACCGATGCCCAGCCGCAGAGGCCGAGTTCAACGGTCTCACAGCTACGCTCAGGCGCGTGGGTCGCATCGTGGAGCACGCGCCAAGCAACGTAATCAGCGCCTTTCGTGCGCCGCCATCGCTCGGGGGATTCGTCGGCATGATAGTGGAAAACAGCCGGGGCAGTCTCGACCCCTGGGCTGCCGGCGCCGCCGAGCCTCCCGGGGCAGGGGGGGCCC